TCAGGTTTATAGCTTTCTCGGCAATATAGTATCACTGTCTCTCCCTCCTTCCATCCCCCCCCCCCTTTTAAACCTCACTGGCCTCTCCTGCTCTGTCTCTATTGACTTGTATTTTTCTAGCCAGTCATTAAATATTGGATTTTCCCATGACTTAGTCTCAATTTTTCTTTTCTTCTTATTCTGTCCAATAACATCCATTTCAACACTTATCTCTCCTCTAGCTCTGAGATCAGTATATCTATCCGCCTACTCTGATGTGTGTATTTTTCCTTCTCAAAGATACCCAAAATCGTCAACTCTAAAAGTGAACTTATTTGCTATCTGATTGTATGGCACCACCACCCATCCTGTTCGCGAAGCCATGATTCGAAGAGTGGGTCATCTTTGACTCCTCCCTCACAATACTCCATTTCAAACCCACATCAAGTCTGCCAGCTTTTCTCCTTAAATATCACTTGATCCACCTATGTCTCCCCAACTTTTCCAACAACTTTCAAAGTCCAGACTAATATCTTTTACTTGGACCACTGTAATCAGCCTCTTTATATCGAAGTCTTCAGACAGATCAATCATTACAACATACAAATAAGATCATGCCCCCTTCCTATTTAAAACAATTCAATGACTCCCTTTGCTCTTGAGATCCCTAACCAAATCCTTAATATCTTGAGCAAGATTTGTAACATGGCCTACAAGTCCTTGTCTTCTGAGATTCAGAAAATCCAACCTTCTTTGGGAGCATACAAATGTTCCATAGACTTCTAACCACCTTTGCACAAGTTGTTGCCTTAGCCTGGAATGTTCTCCTGTCTACATAATCACTTCCTGTACAACCCATAAATCTCAACTCAGACTTTCTTCCTCAGGGATATTTCTCAGACCCCCAAAACTAGATCAAGTCTGTCATATGCCCTCTTACCATTTTCCACTCCGCCTTTATAAAATGTATCATAATTTCACATTTATCATATGTTTTTGTTCAATAACTAGCTGCACCTTGAGGGAAGGAAATGTTTTGATTTTGCTTACCATGCCTAGGACCCAGCACAATACCAGGAACACCATGGGTACACTTTTAATATTTGTTGAACACATAGAAAAGAGAAACTTATAAATCATATAACATTTTTCATTCAATAAAATGTTTATATATAACTATAGTTTCCATACTGAGAATAGACATAGTTGTGGAAAGTGGAGAAAGAGGAGTGTAATGAGATTATTAGGAGCAAAGAAAGACATCACAAGTTCATAGCTACCTAACACAATCCTGTGCTTTACTCATGTGGCAGTATACAGCCTTTATCATCTCATGCTAGAATCAGTTGTATATGTGTCTGCCTCACTCCCTGAATTCCTTAAAGGCAGGGACTATGTATTCATTCTCCTTGTATTCCCCAGTGTTAGGTACTTGAAAGAAGCTCAAGCTCACTTGTTCAAGTAACTTAAAGCTAACAGCTATGTCTTCCACAGAAATTGCAGCAAATAGAATTTGTTGAGAAAAATTCATAAGGTACTCTGTAGGAGTATATTAAGCTCTCTGATAAGCAACATTAACTTTCTTGGGCTATTTGATTACTGTCTAATTCACCGATGCATTAATTTTCTGAATGTGGTAATGACCAAAACAGGAACTACTAATGGAGAAATGAATTAAAATCTACTGCTCTAGGGCACCTAACCCAGGAGACCTAAAATATTTCTGAAAACAAAACATATTCTCCAGAAGTTATTTGCCTACTAGCAAAATTAGCCTTGTTAAATGTTACATGTGTAAAGTAAACTTAAAAAGGTGCCAATTTTCTAGGCGTTTACAAAAGTGAGCACACTACTGTAATTGATAAACTACATATAGAGAATACACAAACAATGAGTGATTAAATGTAGACGTAATTTATATCTTGTTCAACTCCGGGATGGATGAATGTAGGAACAGAGTGAAGAAAACATGACCAGCATTGTTAAATAGGTGGTAGTTGTTGTCAGGTGCCACCGAGTCGATTTCGACTCCTAGTGACCTCACAGTAGAACTGCCCCATAGGGTTTTCATAGCTATAATCTTCATGGAAGCAAATCACCAAGTCTTTCTCCCACAGAGCCACTGGGTGGGTTCAAACTTCTGACCTTTCAGTTAGCAGCCAGGCACTTAACCGTTTGTGCCACCGAAAGAGAAATGATCAGTTTTAATAAATCAAAAGAGTCTTCATAGAAATGTTGGTATTTTCAAGGTTCTCTGAATGGCAGGAAAAATTACTTAAATCACTTCGTGTGTGGTGGGAAATATTTTCCTGATCAAGGCTATCACCAGAGGAGAAAAAACTGATAATGAAACACAAGAGAGATTTAGAAGGAATGGAAATTTCAAATTGAAGGGAAAACAGGGAATTAAGGTAGAAGTTAATTTCTAGTTAAAGGGGCAGTGTAAAGCTGTTTTTATTCCATTTCCCTCCCTGAAGAGTCATTAAACAATTACGAATGGAAAAAGCGAAGCAAAACAAAGCAAGTTGAAAAAAACCTTACCTCCCTCCTCTATCTTTAGTGAATCAGCCAGACAGGCATAACCCTAAACCACAACTTCAAAGAATAACTGAAGAACTCATTTTGTTCTGTACCAAATAAGTGTGGATAGAAAGCCAACACTCCCCACAAAACCCCACGTCTCAACTTTTTTTTTCCAGTTGCCACTGAGGAGACTCTGAGTAGAATTGTGCTCCATAGGGTATTCGTTGATTTTTTTGGATGTAGATTGCCAGACCTTTCTTCCAAGGCACTTCTGGGTGGACTAAAATTTCCAGCCTTTTAGTTAGCAGCTCAGTGCATTTACCGTTTGCTCCACACAGGGACCACCCTTCCCCCACCTCAGCCTGAATACAAATAATTGCCCTTAAAATTATGTAGGACCATCCAGAAATACTCCTCAGATCTTTATAAAAACCATGAATATCTGGGAATATATCAGTCCCATCCCACACAACCCATGGGAGTTCAGCTGAAGAAGAAACCATACTGGAAGCCAGTTGTATTACTGAAGTTGTCATCCACCCATATTGAGTTGCTCTTTTACTGGACTTTAAAATAATGCCTAAATAGCGGCAAAGGTCAGATAATTTTTAATTTGTAACAGAACCTCTCATACAAAGAGGACTTGCTGGGAGAGAGGCAAGATGGCAGCGTAAGCAGCTAAACATTCCCACAACAAGAGAAAAATAATGTGGTGGAACTAAGGAAGTCAGAACTCTGGAAACCAAAGAGATACACTCTCTAACTGAAAACTGAACAAAGTGTCAAGATAAGAAAGTTTATTGTATATACACTTCCTCCTAGCCTCTGTGGCAGTGGGGACAGCAGGTGCCAAGAACTGCGTTCCCTTTTGGCTCAGGAGTGTAGCGAATGGAGTCAGCTTGTCTGACTCTTCGTATCAGTCTAGGGGCAGCGAGAAAAACTGAGGAGAGACAAGGTCCTCAGGGAATAGCCAGCCCCTGCTACTTCTGGCTGGACTGGAGAGAAATAATTGGCATAGTCTGCAGGCTCCCTGAATCTAATGGGAGCAATTTACCTTAATGGTCACAAACAATAGGCTTCCAAAGGCTGAAATTTGAGAAAGGCCTGTGCTGGGAGTGTTTACTGTAAAAGTTAAAATTTTTAAAGCAATGAGACCAGATTAAGAAGTTGTAAAGTTCTACCTCTCCACCAAATTGTCTACTGCTCATTAAATAGGTCTTAGAAACATTTTGGGGTTCTGGAAGCATATCAGACATTTAAATTAACTAGGGAAGTTCTTAATGAAGGGATAAGCTGTAGATCTTTCCTAAGTGAACCACGTGTACCAACTGGCTAACATCCCCCATTCCTCAGCATCCTTCCCTCCCCAGTGGAGGTGGGGACTGTGATCCATGTTCCCAGACCAACTGTCTGGTGCCAAGGCAGGCAGTAGGGACTTTCTCCTCTAAGGTTTTGGGGTTTCACAGTTTGTAGAAAAGGTTTGATTCAGAGGGTCCCTGAAAGGTTCAAACAAGTGTGGAGATTTCTGCCTTTTCTCAGCGCTGTCATTGTTGGCAGAATCAAAGGGCTAGAGTGCCTCCTCGTGGAATAAGCCAGGCCACTTACTGACTGTAGCAATAACAGAATCGGAACTCACACTCTACAAAAAGTAATTTGGAAAATGCACTAAACAAACAGTCAACTACAGCCTACATCAAGTAATAACTGCAATTCCTGAAGTACAAGGAAATTTTCCTTCAAAACACTAGGAGAACAAGGGCTCTGGCTCAGTCTGTATTATCCATACATGTTCTGGAAGCCCAGACTTTTCAACAATAGTTAAAGCAGGTTGCTGAGCATCTATTACAATCATCAATAATTAGGGAAAAATAATAAAATTAAAAATGTAGATATATATATATATACACAATTGCAATCCCTGGGGAAAGAAAAGATTCTGTGTTTCAGAGTTATCACAGTGTTCAAATATTCAAATACCACAGTGTCAACAGAAAATTACAAGGCATACAAAGAAGCAGAAAAGATAATGCAATCAAAAGGGCAATACAAAGAGACAGAAAGCAGCCCTTTGGAAGCCCTGGTAATGGGCAAAATAGAGGACTTTAAAACAATAATATTAAATATACTCAAACAATTTAAAGAACACACAGACAGTGAACTAAAGAAAATCAGGACACAAAATGAGTATTTCAATAAGGAGATAGAAACAAGGTGGAACTGCTGGTACCTAAATGCACTACATGGAGCTCCGGTGAAGCAATGATTAAGAGCTCAGGCTGCCTAGCCAAAAGGTTGACAGTTCAAATCCACCAGCCACTCCTTGGAAACTCTATAAGGCAGCTCTACTCTGTCCTATAAGGTTTCTACGAGTCAGAATTAACTCAACAGCAAGGGGTTTGGTTTTTTTTTTTTGGTTTAAATGCATTACATACACTTGTTTCCAGTTTCATTTTCCAACAGCATTAAAATAATTTTTTTAAAGAAAGAAATTGCCTTACCCAGTGAGTTTGACTGCATGTGTCCGAAGCTTTCGATATTTTTCTGATTCTTCATTTGTGCGAGTAACATGTCTATATATTCCTGTCTTATAATGGAAGAAATCCTCATGGACATGCATTATAGCTAAAATAAAAGCCGACAGGATAAAAGGACAGGTTTTTTTGTTGTTGTTGTTGTTTGTTTGTTTTGTAATTATCTTTAAAAACCTACAGAAATTCTCACAGAAAAATCATTAGGTAAATTGCTGGGTGTTGAACCAAAGAAAGGATTTTGCAGTGCAGCCTAATTTTCTTTCCTCCTTAATTTAATTTGTTACATTTTTTTCTTCTTTTCTTGTAAAAATGACTTTTAGCTTTTTAGACTATTAAGTACAGATTATACATTTAAAACTCCATCTAGTCTTAATTGACAGAGGCACTATTACCAAGAATTGAGCCCCTTGTGGCAAAAGCCCACTACACTTGGCAGGTTATTGCTTTTTCTCCATTAACCTTGTGCATCACCATGAGCCTCTTAAAACTTTAATTAAACAAACAGCAAAGGTTGATTCTAGCAAACCCAGTTTATAGTAATTGTTCTTAATCCTTAGAAGTAAATACAAGCCTGTCCTTGGATGAGTTTGAATAAAAAGCAAAAGAACACTATGACAAAATTTTAACTTCCCAGTTCTGAAGAGTTATGTCAATGTCATATTCTTTAAAAAGAAAAGCTTATACTTTATAAAGCTCTCCTTCATTCTCTCTCTTAGATTATTTCTTTTCTGTATTATGTATGCACTGCTTTGTTGAAGAGCTTGGGCAATGCAAGGTGAAGGCTTTAAACTTTTAGAAGGCATATGTTATTTTTAGTTGGGTCTAGATAAGTATACCTTGATAAATGTGAATAATGTTTGTCTATCTTACTTTGAAATGTATTTTAAATAAAATAGGAGCTAAGGTCACTAGAATTTGATAAATCCTAAAATGAACTTTCTACTCCAAAGTTAATCCAATTTTTTAATGTTCATTTTTTTATTTCATTTTTTAATGTCCCGTGCCCTTTCTGATGCTGCTCAAATATTCTCTAAAAGAAGTTAAATCTTTTTTATCTACTATAAAACACATTCACATAGAATTTTAAGAATTTATACAACTGCACTTTATGTAGATATTTGCTTTTGTTCTTTCCATCGCTTACATTTATTTTTAATTCTACAGATCTTAGAAGAATATACACTGTGTTATTTATTTAGCTTCTATTTTCTTTTACCTTCTTTTGTATTGAGACAGGGGAAGAAATGCTGTATGTTAGCCCAGACGACAATAAGCAAGATGAGTCTACAGCACTACAGCGAGATGAGTCAACCAGCATTCTATCCATTTATAAAAATGTGCAGATGTAACTAGTGGATTTTCTATTCTATACAGCCATTGACTCTAACTCCTATGATTTACCTCTTCTTTAAGTATCAAATTAAATATATTTTTTTATTTGCTGTAAAACATTACTAAATAAAGATTGAGTGAGAAGCCATTAAAATTCACTTAAAAATGGCTCCTCTCTTCAGTTTTTGACACCAAAACAGATATGATAAACCCACTCACATATAACTATATTAGCTACCTTAGTGCAATTATACTTTTGGGAAAATGCAGCAAACTCATTAGACAGGACTATTACACACCTGAGAGCAGACCGGAACCTGCCTTGATTGCTGCCCTGTCTCTAGCTCCTGACTCAGCCTGGCAGAAAGTGGGTTCTCCACAAACACTTGCTAAAACAATGCTGGATAGGTTGCATAACTGACTTCCTTGCTTTGAAATTTTCTGTCTTTATTTTTGATTCATCAGGAGGAATTCACAAGCATTTAAGTACATTACCATAAAATTAACCTAAGGTAGTCTCAATCTTAAATAATCACGATCTGAATGTATTTTGGCTGATTAAAAAAAGAAAAATATAAACAGTAATAATGATTTGATGATTCAGAGAAGTTGCATAAATTGCCCAAAGTTATATCCGTTGCAAACACCAAGTTGGAATTTTTAATTCAGCCCTGAGTTCAAATGCCTGTGCCACTTTAAGTTTGTCACTAAGCTCCACTTCATGAAGCAGACGTTGAAATTAGAGACAAATTCCTCCAGTCTTACAGCAGTGAACACATTACACAATTTTAAGGAGAAAAAAACAAACAAAAAACTTCTCTCCATTTGTTTTGGATTTTGTGTAAGTTTCCAGGATTTTTTAAATTAAATACAATGCCCGTTTAGTGCATGATTTGTTTTCTAAGCAAATGCCAAACAGTGATAACGATGAATAAAAATTCTTTCAATACAATTATAAAATCCATGTTTCCTGCTAGATACTAAACAAATACCAATTAGATCAGCATTCAGGAAAACAAAAACTGGCCATATATCAAATGTTTATTTAAATTAATTTTAATTTAATTTGGGGTTACTTTATATCCCCCTGCATTAACCATGTATTTTAAGCCTTTCAGAGTTTACAAACAGAATTTCCATTGTAGGCTTCATTGGACTTGCTATTCCATGTACTTCAAGGCTGCGTTTAATACAGATAATGCTTGCTATGAGCTTATTGTCTTTATCTATGCCCTTGGTATAAAATAAAACGTATTTTCAATAAGTAAACAGGAACTGTTTATCAAAGATGATATCTTAAAAATCAAAGTCAAGGCACAGTAAGACACTGTATTATATTCTTATTTACTGTTAGTTTATTATCCATAACATATTTACAACATTCATCAAAATAGAAAGTCTTTTGCAAAGCAGAAAAATCATACTGGCTTATTTGATTTATTATGAGCTAATAAAAAAAGAGGATGTATCTACTTTTTTCTACCGTTAATCCTCACTTTTTTTTTTCCTCCCTTCATTACCTAAGCCTTTTAAATTGAAGGTGAGAAAATATCTAACATTATGTATGATTTTTAAATGTGATTGAACAAATAAAGTGAGTGTCATTGCAAATCAATCACTTCACATTTCAGGTTTTTCTTTTGGTCTCCAATCACTTTTGAAAGACTTAGCAGACTTTGATCTAACCTGTCACTAATATTTAAGAGTATTGCCAGTGGTTCAATTTGTGAGTAAGTCTGCGGTCTTAAAATAAAATGATGACTCATGAAGTTCATAAGTGAGCATATCTTCCATAATTGCACTGATATTAGATCGCTTGAACCTTAATGAATAATCTAAAAGTGAAAGTTTTCCTGCTTATTATTTTCTTTTGTGTGAGCTAAAATTTAATGTCATGTATTAAAGAAATTAATAAGACACAACCATATCTCATCCAAGCTTACCTTGAACTGGTCCATTTTGCATGATTTCTCTCATTATCTCAGTTTCCTGGAAGGAAAAATATCATTGAGCATCATCACTGTTACCAGAGTTTACTAAACCTTTTGTTTGGTGAACAGTGTTAGGCGTTGCACAATCCCTATTACATGTTATGCAATCCCAAGTGTCATGTTCACTTGCAATTTACTATGAAACATGCTTTGAAATATTCACGTATGAAATGACAAAATTGCTGAAGGTAAGATATATCTATTTCTTTCATTGACTTTTATCACTAAGTAATACTTTTGAAATGGAGAGGAACTATAATAACTTTTTATGGTCACAAAGAAAAAATAATTTAAGCTAAAACCATGTTTTAACAGTGGAAATTAAGGTTAGCTCAATTCTTTTGATCACAAAAGCCATTCAAAATGATAGTCTAGTGAGGCACATCAGCCTAGCTTTAGAATACAGTGTTTCTATGTTGCCACCTAATATGTAATGCAGCACTCAGTAATGAGGCAGCTCATTCATTGCTCATTCTTTCATTCATCTGTACATACCATTGAGCACAGAGTACATACCAAAAACAATGTAGAAACAAATACTTATTCTGTACCTATGCTCAGACTAAGGCAGACTAGGAAGAAGGCCTGGCAATACTTCTGAAAACTTGTTAATGAAAACCTTATGGACCACAACAGAATATTTTTCAAGAGAGTGCTGGAAGATGAGCCCCCTAGGTTGGAAGGCACTATACAATACCCACAACAATAGACTCGAACATACTCAGGGTCATGAAGATGGCACAGGACAGGGTAACCTTTCGTTCTGTTATACAGAAGATCACCATGAGTAGGAGCTGACACATGGCAACTAACAACAGTCACCACTGTCACCAAGGTATTTATATTTAGTGGAGTAGATAGATACAAGGAGTCTACCTTACTCCAGCAAATGGTTAACCACTGAGCTACTAACCAAAAGCTTGGTGGTTCAAATCCACCCCAGAAGTGCCTCAGAAGTAAGGCCTGGTGATCTGCTTCTGAAAGTCACAGCCTTGAAAACCATATGGAGCAGTACTATTCTGCACACATGTGTTGCCATGAGTTGGGATTGACTGGACGGCAGCTAACAACAGACAGGCATAATTGCATTATGATAGAAGTATTGTTATCAAAGCAAGCACAAAGTATCATGGATGCAAACAATAAAAAGAAATTAATTCTGCCTAGGAGCCAAGGAAAACTTCACAGAGAAGATGAGGTTTTTGACATGAGCCTTGATGCATGTGTGAGATTTCACCAGACAGAAATCAGTGAAGTGATGATTCGGATCAGAGGAATCACCATATGGCTAATCAGACACACTATGAAAGAATATGGTATATCTAGGGAACAGATAGTAGTCCTGTATATTGGATCATTATGAGGGTAGGAGAAGTAGACGGAGTGGATGCTAGCAAGACATGACTCTCTGAAAGTAAATCAGAATCAACTCATGAAAGGTCTATATGTCATGGTAAGAATATTGGACTGTATTCTGGAGATAACTGGAAGCCACTGAAGACTCAGATACTCTGAAAATGAGAAGACATGGTAACATTGCCATAATGGAGTAAAATTTACCTAGGTTTTAACATGACACACTCTATTCTAAGGGGGTTTCTTCCCTTTATGGCTTGGTCCACTTCAATTACTTAGTGAAAGGACTGATAAAATATGAAATTATGACAAAGTCATCTAGCCACTACCAAAAAGTTAGTGAGAAAGAGTTCGTCTTAGCTTTTTTTTTTTTAAATTGTGATAAATATGTATGTAACAAAACATTTGCCATTTCAACATTCTTCACATGTACAATTTAGTGACATTAATTATATTCATCATGTTGTGCAACTGTCACCATGATCCGTTTCCAACTTTTTCCATCACTGGTGGTATACTGGTTAAGAGCAACGGCTGCTAACCAAAAGATCAGCAGTTCAAATTCACCAGGCGCTCCTTGGAAACTCTGCGGGGCAGTTAGTTCTACTCTGTCCTGCAGGGTCGATATGAGTCGGAATCAACTCGACAGCAATGGGTTTGGTTTTGGGTTTTAATAGAAGCTCAGTGTATCCTAAGCAGAGTCTCTTTTTCCCTTCTCCATCTTCCCCACACCTGGTAGCCACTAATAACCTTAGGACCGTATACACTTGCCTATCTATTTTACATAAGCGGAATCGTACAGTTTGTCCTCTTGGGACTGATTTCACTTGGTATGATGTTTTCAAGTTTCATTCATGTTGTATCAGGTATCAGTACTTCATTTTTAAGTAAGATTCCATTGTATATTTGTATCACACTTTGTTTATCCATTCATTTGTGATTGTCAGGTGTGGGTGTGTGTGTGTATCATACTGAAACTGAAAGTCTTTACGGATACTTAAAGAACATAAAAAATCAAAAAAACAAACAAACATCCGACTCTTAGTTTTAAATAATGTTTAAACAGCTTTAATAACAGCAGAGATACATGTTTTTGAGAAAATCAAACATTACCCATTCTTCCTATTTAGACTTACGTTAGAAGAGACTCTGTATGGAGGAGAACATTGGTAGATCGTGTTAGATTTCTCAATGTTGTTGGGACACGGCTTTGTGGCATGCCGTTTTCCCCGCCCATCAGATCTACTTGCCATGGCGCAGCCCTTATTGTTGGCATTTTGGTCCTTGAAAAGTGGATAGCATGCATGGGATACCAATCTATGGAGAATAAGCAAAGAAGCAAAAGTAATATTTAGGAAAATGCTATAATATACTGTCTATATTCAATTTTACTAAATCAAACATTCATAAATTAATCTGGCTACTTACATGTGTAACTTTCAAAATGTCAACCGACTCCAATACAGCAGTTAAATTACATTACACTCCTCCCTGCTCCTCTCTTATTTCTTAACTATAATTTTAAACATCTTGCTTCAATCCGTCATAATAAATAATTCTATCTGTAGTATAGTTTTTCTTGAAGATGGAAAGTGGCTGTCAATAATGTGCATGGTAATAATAATAGAGGAAGGACTCCTTTATTTTATATCTATAATTATAATGTATAAGAGTCAAATTTAATGTGAAAAAAACAATGAACTTGATTATTCTCAAACGGGGTGTTCTGATAAATTATGTAAGTTTTCGAATTAGGTATTTTTTATTTTTATTAAGTGATAGATAGCTCCTCATAAGACTTCAAATGTTACGTGCCTGTAGTTCATGAAACTTTGTGGAAAATATTTTAATACTAATATAATATGAAAAGTTAATAAAGTGCAAATTTACCAGATGTATACATTATACAAAAGATAGAAAAAAAAATTTTGATTTTGAAACTGAACATAGCAGATTTGCACTTTCCAAGGTACAATTATTTGGCTCCAAATTTAATATAATTATATTGAATATAGAGATGATAAAAAGGGATATAAAACCATGAAATTGGTTTATAAATATTCAAGGTTGATCTGACCAAAGAAGTATCTAGTAGGATTGGTTCAAGAAAATTTAGTAGTGTTGAGAGTATGAGAATCTGAGCAAAGAGCATGAGGAAAGCAGGGCCATTAAAAACACCCAAGCCCTTAAAAGAAAATTGCATTAAATGAATTAATTTGGGCAGATGAGATTGGTTAAATCACAATGATAATTTATATATTTAAGTCCCTAAAATGATTTTATTTTTTATCATAGTGTGAAACAAGCCAACAAAGCACCACTGCACCAGAATAGTATCAGCCCAAGTCTCCCATTTTAAGCACCATATTAGGCAAAAATTTATGAGGAAGAAAAAAAAAGTAAGGAAAAGTATTGACACCCATCAAAATCCTACATTCACTCCCTTTTGCAGCACATGTTGGAAAGCAGATCCCAGAGCACTCAGTCTCTCATGGATGCAGAAAGAACAGGAGAGCTGTGAGTATGTGGAACAGTACTTATCAGCTTTAGCAGATAAGTTCTTTAGCAGAACAACTCAGCTCTTAAGTAGATTAGCTCCTCTTATAGTGGACAGGGGGAAGTGGAGTGGGTATCAAACTACATGAGAGTGAAGAAATGCAACCTGCTTTTTCTCTTCAAATGTAATGGGGACGATTACTGATGAGTGAAGGCAATCATAAATTACTTCTTTATTTTAATCTTCCAATTTATAACCTAATTTTTACCTGGCTTTATCAATTTACCTACCTGGGTAACTGAAAGGCTCAGCAGAGATATCAACAACATTGATGACTTTATTCCCTCCATGGTGACTCAGTAGAATCATTTGACTCAAAGCAATAAGACAACAATGTTTGAGTCTTCAAAGCTAAAATTCCTATTCTGAATTTGGCTAGGAATGTATACATTCTTCAAATAATTGTTTCCAATAGGTTCTAATCTCAGTAGATATCAAAAATAGTGTATGTTTAAATATAATATATATTTACATAGATGCACTAATTTTTTCCTGTATTCTAATCCTAGGCAGTATTCATAAGAATCCTAGGAACGCATGTTGGGCAGCTATTTACCCACGTTTTCTCAGGTACCACCAAGCTTTATCAATGCTTCCACTGTTGCATCCATGATGGTTTTTGGTACAGCAGGATATCAAATTCTGAGGGGAGAGATTGGCTGTGTATCGACCGTTGGACTGAATTGCTATTCGGTCAGCTGCCACACCTATTTCAAAAAGAATATCAATTAATATTCAAATGGTACAGGTTTTTTTAAAAAATAAGTGACATAGAGTATCTGAAGCTGTCTTCAAAACTTTAAAGGAAACTAGGTTACTTAAAATTATGAGGCCAAATGTCATTAATATATCTGTGTATACTGACAAGTTCAGCTGTGTCATAATTTCAGTCAGATTTTTTGTCCAATTGTTGGTACTATTCCATTGTCTTACCAATTCCAAAGACTTTTCTAGTTCCTTCTTCCTTTTATGCCCTGCAAACTCCGAATTCTTAATTAAATAATCTTTCAAGTGTTGAAACTCCTTGAGGGCAAGGCTATATCTTACTTATATATGTATCCCCTACACCTAGAATAGCGCCTTGTATATTGTCATTGTAGATTTATTTTTTGAAATGAATATAACTAAGCTGGGAAAACTAATCATATAAATATTAATTGGAAATTTATCTATAGTAATCTGGTATACTAGAGTAAACTGAACCTTTGGTTTTTAGCTGATATTTAGTTTAACTACTCAGGAGAAAATATTTAACCTAAGCGGGATTCATATGAATCTATCATTTACAATATCTAAGATAGAATATCTATGATTGAAAACCATGATCCTAATCTTATTTCAGTCGACAAAGATTTCACCTTGTTGCATATATATATAAAAAATGAGCTAATATTTTTATGTTTGAACCTTCTATTCTTCTGTTTAAACAATTTCTTAGCGTGGTTTTTGTTCATCAGTTCATTCGATTCCTCGACATATTTGTTGAGGACATACTAGGTGATGAGAACTGTGCTAAGCACTAGAAATTACAACAGTGAACAAAAGAGACATAGTTCTGCCCTCATAAAATAATAGAGACATAGTTCCGCCCCCATAGAATAATAGAGAAAATAATTAATGAGCAGTAGAACACTATACGTGTTGTCACTTTGATTATGCTATCAAGATAAACTAATGTGAAGAGATCATGAGAAAATAGGGGCAGACACCATTTGATACAGATTTTTTTTTGTTGGATATCTGATATCGTCTTGTTCTTGATGTTTAATCACCTATTCACTTTTAACTGAAGACAACAAATTCATAACGTTTCATCCATCCATCCAATTTTCTCAGTGAAAGTTATAGTTCATCAAAATTGTATGTGTACTGGAACCTCTCAAGGTATTAATTTAAATTATTCTAAAGTAATTTATTTACAAATGTAGTTCTGTATGGTCATGGTTTTATGTAACTACAGCATATGTACAATTCTGTAGTGCTATTACTGGCACATTTTAGATGATTAATGTGTGTTGAATCTATAACCTCCCATTTCCTTATTAATTTCCATCTCTTATTGTACTAGGATATATTTCATAGGAGCAAATGACATTATACTACTATCTCTGCTATTCTCAAGAAAATAATTCTCTGTTTCAAAAAAGAAAATAGAAATTCTTTGATGCTTTGACTTTCAATACAAGAGTTCAGAAGCAAGTATGAATTTTTAAAATGTTAGTGTAAGTGTTCTTTGGTTCAGAAAATATGTTTGCAATGTAGAGAAAACTGCAGTTAAGAGTCTGAAGCCTGGATTCCAGGATCATTTCTGATACTCTGGTTTTGGCTTTGGTTAAGTCACTTCACCTATTTATGCCTCCTTTACAAAACCAGAAGCTTGAAAAAGGTGACATCTAAGACCCCTTGCAGCTCCATTAATCAGGACATTTCAACTAAAGGATGTTTTAAATTCTAATGTTATGCAATATGTTGCACTTACACAGATATATCTGAATCTTTGTGAAGGTTTAGTCCAAATTTACTTGAAATATTTAGAAAAGGTTGGAAGACTCAAGGAATGGCTCAGGTCAACCAATTGCTTTCCCCTCTCTTCTTGAAAACTTTTACTGGCTTTTACCTCTAAGACACGTTCTTTTATTTTCCTTGCTTATTTTATTCTGTCTCCAAATTTGTTCTGTGGTATGTATCTCTCCCATCATTGAAAACACATTCACCACTTCAGCTTCTGACATCTCACTTGAATTTTATTTGGTTACATAACTATATGTGTGTGTGTGTGTGTGTGTGTGTGTGTGTGTGTGTGTTTAATGTTTTCTTTATTCCATCTTGTAACTTTTAGCTTCCCTAAAAGAACTTTTTCTATTTTAACTGTAACTTTCTGAATCTTCAAGAGAATCTAGTTTATTCTTTTCTTTATAAAACACACAAAAAAAATCAGCCTGATTTCCCTTACACAGGACATACAACCACAAAAGGATGATATTTGCAGAGAAATCGGTAGGGGGACAAGCCCTATGCTGAGGCCACCTGTAGAGCTGTGACTTGGGGACACCAGAATATACCTCCTAAATCAGGCTGATGCCCTATATCCCCACTAATATCTCTCCTTATATGCCTTCAAAAATACTGCCTGTTTTACAGGATCCAGAGTATCAAAATATTACAAAGCATCTTTCCTGACCATAAAGTCATAAAAGTAGAAATCAATAACAGAAAAAGCAAGGAAAAAAAATCTAACACATAGAAACTGAACAACACCTTGCTCAGAAACTACTGGAAGAAGAAATTAAGGACAGAATAAAGAAATTCACAGACTCAAATGAGAATGAAAATACATCCTACCAGAACCTTTGAGACACAGCAAAAGCAGTGCTCAGAGGCCAATTTATAGCAATAAATGCACACATCCGAAAAGAAGAAAGGGCCAGAATCAAAACATTAATCCTACAACTCGAACAAATAGAAAGAGAGCAGCAAAAGAAGCTCTCGGGCACCAGAAAAAGGAAGCAATAAAAATTAGAGCAGAATTAAATGAAATAGAGAATAGAAAAACAATTGAAAGAGTTAATAAGACCAAAAGCTGGTTCTTTGAAAAGATCAACAAAATTTATAAACCATTGGCCAAACTGACAAAAGAAAAACAGGAGAGGAAGCAAATATTCCGAATAAGAAATGAGATAGGCAACATCACAACAGAGCCTACTGAAATTAAAAGAATCATGAAAGACTACTATGAAAAATTGTACTCTAACAAATTTGAAAACCTGGAGGAAATGGACAAATTTCTAGAAATTCACTACCTACCTAAACTAACACAAACAGAGGTAGAACAACTAAATAAACCCATAACAAAAGAAGAACTTGAAAGATAATTAAAAAACTCCAAAAGAAAAAAAAAAGCCCTGCCCCTGACGGTTTCACTGGAGAATTCTACCAAACTTTCAGAGAAGAGTTAATACCACTATGACTAAAGGTATTTCAGAGTATAGAAAAGGATGGAATACTCCCATATTCATTGTATGAAGCCAGCATAACCCTGATACCAAAACCAGGTAATGACACCAGAGAAAAAGAAAATTCAGACCAATATGCCTCATGAACGTTGACACAAAAATTCTCCACAAAATTCTAGCCAATAGAATTTAACAACATATCAAAAAAATAATTCACCATGACCAAGTGGGATTCATACTAGGTATGCAGGGATGGTTCAACATTAGAAAAACAATCAATGTAATCCATCACATAAATAAAACGAAAGACAAGAATCATATGATCTTATCAATTGATGCAGAAAAGGCATTTGACAAAGTCCAACACCCATTCATGATAAAAACGTTCAGCAAAATAGGAATAGAAGGGAAATTCCTCAACATAATTAAGGGCATTTATACATTTATACAAAGCCAACAGCCAACATCATTCTAAATAGAGAGTCTGAAAGCATTCGCTTTGAGAACAGGAACCAGACAAGGATGCCCTTTATCACCACTCTTATTCAACATTGTGCTGGATGTCCTAGCCAGAGCAATTACGCTACAAAAAGACATAAAGGCACCCAAATTAGTAAGGAAGAAGTCAAAGTATCTCTATTTGCAGATGATATGATCTTACATACAGAAAACCCCCAAGACTTCACAAGAAAACTACTGGAACTAATAGAATTTCAGCAAAGTATCAGGATACAAGATAAACAAACAAAAATCAGTTGGATTCCTCTACACCAACAAAGAGAACTTCAAAGAGGAAATCACCAAATCAGTACCATTTACAATAGCCCCCAAGAAGATAAAATATTTAGGAATAAATCTAACCAGAGGCATAAAAGACCTATGCAAAGAATCTATAAGACACTACTGCAAGAAACCAAAAGACACCTGCATAAGTAGAAAAACATACCTTGCTCATGGATAGGACTCAACATTCTGAAAATGTCAATTCTACCCAAAGCGATCTACAGATATAATGCAATCCCGATCCAAATTCCAATGGTATTTGTTAATGAGATGGAGAAACAAATCACCAACTGCATATGGAAAGCGAAGAGGTCCTGGATAAGTAAAGCATTACTGAAGAAGAAAAAGAAAGTGGGAAGCCTCACACTATCTGATTTTAGAACCTATTATACTGTCACAGTAGTCAAAACAGCCTGGTACTAGTACAACAACAGATACATAGGCCAATGGGACAGAATTGAGAATCCAGATGTAAATTCATCCACCTACGAGCAGCTGATATTTGACAAAAGCCCCAAGTCCGTTAATTGGGGAAAAGACAGTCTCTTCAAAAAATGGTGCTGGCATAACTGGATATCCATCTGCAAAAAAATGAAACAAGACCCATACTTCACACCATGAACAAAAACTAACTCAAAATGGATCAAAGACCTAAATATAAAATCTAAAATAATAAAGATCATGGAAGAAAAATTAGAGACAACTCTAGGAGCCCTAATACGTGGCATAAACAGAATACAAAACATTAGTAACAATGCACAAACACCAGAAAAGAAACTAGATAACTGGGAGCTCCTAAAAATCAAACACTTATGCTCATCAAAAGACTTCACCAAAAGAGTGAAAAGACAACCTACAGACTGGGAAAAAAATTTTGGCTATGACAACTCCAATCAGGGTCTAATCTCTAAAATCTACAAGATACTGAAAAACCTCAACAACAAAAAGACAAACAACACAATTAAAAAATGGGCAAAGGATATGAACAGGCACTTCACCAAAGAAGACATTCAGGCAGGTAACAAGTACATGAGGAAATGCTCACGATCATTAGCCATTAGAGAAATATAAATCGAAACTAGAATGAGATACCATCTCACCCCAACAAGGCTAGCATTAATCCAAAAAACACAAAATAATAAATGTTGGGGAGGTTGTGGAAAGACTGGAACACTTATATACTACTGGTGGGAATGTAAAATGGTATAACCACTTTGGAAATTGATTTGGCGCTTCCTTAAAAAGCTAGAAATAGAAGTACCATACAATCCAGTAATCTCACTCCTTGGAATATATCCTAGAGAAATAAGAGCCATCACATGAATAGACATACGCACACTCATGTTCATTGCAGCACTGTTCGTAATAGCAAAAAGATAAAAACAACCTAGGTGCCCATCAATGGATGAATGGATGAACAAATTATGGTACAGTCACACAATGGAATACTATTCAACGATACAGAACAGTGATGAATCAAGAAACATCTCATAACATGGATGAATGTAGAAGGCATTATGCTCAGTGAAATTAGTCAGTTGCAAAAGGACAAATATTATATAAGACCACTATTATAAGAACTCAAGAAAGGTTTAAACACAGAAGGAAACATTCTTCAATGTTTAAGAGGGTGAGGAGGGTGGGAGACGAGTATTCACTAACTAGATAGTAGACAAGAATTATCTTAGGTGAAGGGAAAGACAATACACAATACAGAGAAGTCAGCACAACTGGACTAAACCAAAAGCTAGGAAGTTTCTGGAATACAACCAAACACTTCAAGGGACAGAGTAGTAGGGGTAGGGGCCTGAGGACCTGGTTTCAGGGGACATCTAGGTCAACTGGCATAACAAAGTTTATTAACAAAATGTTCTGCATCCCACTTCGGTGAGTGGCATCTGGGGTCTTAAAAGCTAGTGAGCTGCCATCTAAGATGCATCAGTTGGTCCCAACCCACCTGGAGCAAAGTGGAATGAAGAACACCAAAAACACAAGGAAAATATTAGCCCAAAAGACAGAAAGGGCCACATAAACCAGAAACTCCATCAGCCTGAGACCAGAAGAACTAGATGGTGCCCGGCTACCACCAATGACCGCCCTGACAGGGAACACAACAGAGAGTCCTTGATGGAGCAGGAGAAAAGTAGGGTGCAGAACTCAAATTCTAGTAAAAAGACCAGACTTAATGGTCTGACTGAGACTGGAGGGACCCCAGAAGACATGGCCCCCAGATTCTCTGTTAGCCCAAAACTAAAACCATTCCCGAGGCCAACTCTTCAGACAAAGATTAGACTGGACTATAAGACATAAAATGATACTTGTGAGGAGTGTGCTTCTTAGCTCAGGTAGATACATGAGACTACATGGGTGGCTCCTTTCCAGAGGAAAGATGAGGAGGCAGAAAGGGACAGGAGCTGGTTGAATGAACACGGGGAATCCGGGGTGGAAAGGAGGAGTGTGCTGTCACATTGTAGGGAGAGCAACTAGGGCCACATGACAATGTGTATATCAATTTTTGTATGAGAAACTGACTTGAACTGTAAACTTTCACTTAAATCACAATAAAAAATAAAATACTGACTTTTAAATTTAAAGAACAATTCTTATATATAAGCTAGGAAGGGTAATACATTAACTACATGAACATAAAGTGACAAGTGAATTATCTGAATAAATCTCTCCACATCCTCTGAAACAGGGCACAGAAAGGTCCCCATTGTAGCTCTAATAATGGCAAATATCAGATAGCCAGAAAGCATTTATACTCGAAATGTGGGCAGTAATGTAGAGTTAAAGATGGAGTCACCCCAGAAGTGAGCTTGGCCAACTTTATGGTTCTCCCAAGGGTATCATTCCTGATTTGCACTAACTGATAATATGAAAAAATGATATTTAGATAAAGATATTGGCACTCTTCCATCCCAGGAGTACCATCCTTCAGAGCTGGCTTCTCTAAGAGGCTATGTGGTTATTTCACAAAGATTTCAGTGCTTAAACTGTTTTTGAGCACTCTTTTGAAATTACCTACAAAGCTTATAGTTTTAGGAAAATCTTTGGTAGTGGCCAATCATCATCATATTAGTTTGCATTTAATTGTTGGAGTGCAACCAACACTCCTTTGAAGATAATTTTGGAGAACAAGTCTTGGGATTAACCTAATTTATTTATTGAATTTATGAACTTATATGAAAGTATAAAAAAGATATTTCTTACACTTTTAAAAAATAAAAAACCAAACCCATTGTTGATGAGTCGATTCTGACTCATGGTAACCCTACAGGAGAGAGTAAAATGGCCCCATAGGGTTTCCAAGGAGCGAATGGTGGATTTGAACCGCCAATCTTTTGGTTAGCAGGTGAGCTCTTAACCACTGTGCTACCAGGGCTCCTTTGGAATGACAGAAGCACTAATTTGGAAGTTACTGTTATTGAAACGTCAGTTATATAACGTTAGAGTCACAACCTATTTATTTTGAAAAATTTTATTTTTCATCTAAAGTGACATAAAACCCATTTGATACACTATTATTTGTTCTAAATTCCTACTTTACATCAAATTAGCTCAATAATTAAATTTTTTTCAAATTTTATAAAGGGAAAAGAATATAAGGATTACATAGGTGTGTGTCTATGTGCATTAAGGACTACAGCTAATATTATTGATGATGAGGGAACTTGACACTTCTATTATCTGGCCTTCATTCTCAAAGGACAAACACCCTGTGGCTTCTTTGTTTGTTGCTTCTTTGATTGACTTTTTATTTAAAATTAGACCCTTAAAATACGGACCAATTTTAAGACTAAAAATGAACTTTCACATAAATGACTGTAAATATTTAAATATTCTAGTTTTGAAAACCTTTAAAATACTGTACCAGGCTCTAGAGTCAAAGGGGGAAATTACAAGGAAATAAATTAAAATGACTTCATTACTTGCAGTGGAAAATGCCCAGGATGCAGCACAGTTTTTTTGATCCAGTGGTCCATGAGTCCATCCAGGCCACTTATAAGAAGCAATAAAAAACTCTGGAAGATCAGTTGTTGCAGGCAAAGAAGCCTAAAGAGAAAGAAGAACAAATGTGTCACATTTTCTCACATGTATCCCAATAATCTTCATAAGATAATACAATGTACTTTTATAACTTTTATTTTTGCATAATTTTATATTTTCAAGATTTCTGAATGGCATCCCTGAAAAGTATTAGTTACGCAGGATTTCAGTTTTGCTCTGTGTTAAAATAACAATTAAATGTGGGGAATGATAGCATAGTTCGAAATTATAAGAACGATACATAAAATACTTATTCTGGATTACTATGCAATGCAATCATTTCAGTCAAAGTTTCTGTCGTCTTAATTCAGAGTTTTGCTCATCCATGTGAAAGACCACATAGAGTTATTTAAACTTATCTTCAGAAAGAGCATTTACTTGTCTGCTTCTCCTATTCTGGAGAAGGCGTGTGATTCTGAGGTGAAATTAATATCAAAATGATGTATTTTTAGAAACTATGTATTAACACACTTGGAGCCCCAAGGAACACAAGAATTTCACACCAGCTATTCGGAAACAAAACTGGGGTGAATTGGTTGGTATTTATAAAATCCTCAAAGATTTAAAAAAAAAACTTCAAGAAGTATGCAAGTGTCCAATAATACCGTGATGTCTTAAAAGTCCATGGTAAAGTCCTAATGAAGTCAATTTCAGCTGCCATCTTTCAGAGAAGGCAAATTAAATGTTATGTCATGTCACTCAAAGAAAATGTAAAACATAATACCCTGTTTTTTCCGAACTTTTCTAAAGAGTAGTGAATTTAATTCCCATAAGTAATCAGGACTCCAGACAAAGATTTATTAACTTTTCATTACTCATCATATTCTTTCTCTCTCACTCTCACACACACACAGACACACACACACATACACAAACATCATTTTTGAGAGTGCTTTAATGTTTTCAAATTGTTTCAATACTCTGTATTTTCTTTGATCTTCTCAGGAGCCCTACATGACATAATTACGGCACATATTGTTAGCTCTGGAACCCTGGTGGCATAGTGATTAACAGTTTAGCTAGTAACCAAAAGGTCGGCAATTTGAATCCACCAGCTGCTCCTTGGAAACCCTATGGGGCAGTTCTACTCTGTCCTATAGACTTGCTATGAGTTGGAATCAACTCAACACCAGTGGGTTTGTTTTTGTGGGTTTTTTTTTTTTTTTTTGGTTTTTATTAGTAGCTCTGTTCTATGAATGAGAAAACTATCTTCTAAAAGTTAAATGACATGCCAAGTTCTCTCAGCTAAATAAGAAATACTCGCGGAACTAGACCAAGATTTTAGAATTCTTAACACCAGTTTCCATTTCTATCACCTCCCTATTTTATCAGAAATACACAGATACTTTGCACTAGAAGTAGAACATATGTAAAAGCTAAAATTTCACCTATTTAAAAGTCTTCATGACTGTTCATTGAACAAGTCAGGCTACTGATCCAATATCTTGCAAAAAAAATTACCTCTGACAAGTGCTTAATAGCTTCAAAGACTGAAGCAAGGAAAATTTAGAATTTACATGTCTGCTTGAAAAGGCATCATTCCAAAATAATTTATGAATTTGAATTTTAATGAGAGAATTCTGTTTTGATTTAAAGAACTATTATCATCTGATAAGAAAGTTATTAAATCCTGGGTTCCATTACTAAAAATAATGCTATATAAATGATGGAAGTCAAGTGCTAAAAATGGTTTGGATTATAACATTTTATCAAGCAGGTCACCCTAGACTGCACGAAAACTTGAAGGGCAGCATCTTAGAAAGGCAGATGATTTTAGACTCTTCTACCATTAGATTGGAGCCCTGGTAGCACAGTGGTTAAGCGCTACAGCTGCCAACCAAAAGGTCGGCAGTTCACATCCATCGGCCACTCCTTGGAAACCCTGTGGGTCAGTTCTATTCTGCTCTATAGGGTCGCTATGAGTCAGGATCCACTTGATGGCACATAACAACAACAACAACCATTAGATGGGTCCACACGAAAGAACCTTAAGGTCAGAGCAGAATAAATTTGCTGTTCTGAGTAGATTGTCTCAGAGTTGCAGATTTACTCTACAGAAGAGTCTTTATAATTGGGACAGATATTCACATACTTCATACATTACTCATACATTCCAATACTATTGTTATTGGCTTATCAATATGATTTTAAGGATTTGTAATTCTAAGTTGCCTCAAGTTTCCAGAAAAATACGTGTGTGTCAGTTGTTATTTTAATTTATTATTTTATGATTCTAATTTAATAGTATATTTAGCACATTTCTCTTGTGCTCCGTTGAAGCAGTAAAGATATAACTATTAATTCTAGCACATTTCAGTGGAGTTGAGTTATTTAGAATTTGACTTTCACGTACCAAAGCCTACCACAGTGTTTTGAACATGGGAGGTGCTCAATAAACATCTGATAACAATGATGAGATACATACCTATCTGGTAGATTTGATCTCTTAAAAAATATTCTTTGTTTTCCTCACAGGAACATTAAGTTAAATTATAACACCAGCATACATTTGTTGCTTTTATGATTTAGTCTTTAAAAATGAAAATTATACACAGCTAATCCTTCTCAATAAGATAAGGCAATAGAGAAACAATAAACAAAATGACATTTTTATTAAAAACATATTTACCAATCCCACTAAGCCAGAAGATCAATTCATGAAGCTCATTTTTCAAGATTTTTAAAATTTATATAATATTGCTTTTCCTGAAAATGAGCCCATAGCATTTGAGGTGCAACAGACACTGTTTACCTTGTAATTTTCTTTGCCTCATGGTTTAGGATAATCTGATATAATGAACACAGAGTAAATCTTATATCACGTTTTATATCACATTTTTCCATAATGATTACATTTCTCTGTAAAGTAAGAGCATTGTTCAGGAGCTTATAAATAAAGCTTTTAGGAACTGATAATAAAAGTCTAGTTTCAATGAACTATTTTTTTTTTTTTTTGGCAAAAGATAGCATAATAAGGTAAGAAAACTAAGAGAATCAGCCAAGAGTGACAGAATATCCAAAATGATAGAGGCTTAAATAAGATAGAAATGTATTTTTCAAAGGAGATCTACACTATTCTATGCCTATGGAAGCAGCACTCCAGAAATCAAAGTAGATATTGCGTTGGGAAAATCTGCTGCAAAAGACCCCTTTTAAAGTTTTAAAAAGCAAAGATGTCACTTTGCTGACCCAAGCCATGGTCTTTTCAGTCACCTCATATACGTGTGAAAGCTGGACAATGAAAAAGGAAGACAGAAGAAGAATTGATGTATTCAAACTGTGATGTTGGCGAAGAATATTGAATATAAAGTGGCCTACCAGAAAAACAAACAAATCGGTCTTGGAAGAAATATAACCAGAGTGCTCCTTAGAAGTGAGGATGGCGAGCCTTCAGCTTACTTACTTTGGACACTTCATCAGGAAAGATGAATCTCTAGAAAAGGACATCATGTTAGGTAAAGTAGAGGGTCAGCAAAATCAAAGGAAACCTTCAATAAGATGGATGAGATGGACTGACATACTAGTCAAAACAGTGGACTCAAACATACCAAGGATCATGAGATGGCACAGGACCAGGCAATATTTTGTTCTGTTATAGGTAAGGTTGCTATGACTTGGAGCCAACTAACAACAACAACACACTATTCCATATGGGAATTTTAAATTCTTTTAATTGCGATTTTTAAAAAAACTTTGTGTCATAATCTAATATTTCAAAATTAATATTAATCAAATTTGAGATTAAATCTGAACAATCTTGCTGCTTCAATATTTCAATTTAGAAAGCAGAGATTAAAGATAATGGGAACAAATACAAGAATTAAATGCAATGATGAACACGGAAGAATTTCTTATAATAATTCCTTCATTTAATTGAACCAAAATCTCTAAAGGAGTTTTGGAAACACAACTTAAGAAAAACTGATCAATTTTCTCAAGAACTTCAGAATAGATTGTGAGCATTTTTATTATGCGTCCATATCGACACAATAGTCACTATATGAATCACTCCTTCCATCTCCAGTTGCACTTTCTCCTACTTAAATTTGAAAAATCAGAGTGACCTGAGAATCAAAAGAAAACAGCAGAAGATAATCATTGTGTTCTGACCTTCACAAACCAAGATCTCTGGCCATAGATTCTAAGACATTTATTTTAAACTATCCGATGTTGGAGAGGAAAAAGATCATTTTCTGGTTCCAAATGGCTAAATAAATTTCTCATATTGAACAATATAAGCTTTCATGCCTTAACCTTTAAAGAGTCATGATTTACTAATTCTCTGGTTTCTGTTACAGAGTAATTTTTAATTATCTACTTTTTATAAATATCAATATTCAGTGATAATATTATTGAAGATAGTGCTAGTCCTCTTCTCCAGTCCCCTTCCTTCTTTACAGGCTTTCCCTTTCTTCATAGTAATAGAATTCTTTGCTCACTCAGGCTCAGAAAAACAGTTATATTTCCCAGCCTTCCTTGCTATTAGGTGTGGCCACATTACTAAGTTCTTACCAATGGGATGTAAGTAGAAGTGTCAGTTGGCAGCTTCTGAGAACTTTCCTTCAGAGACAGCTGAACCTAATTTTGAGCCCTTCTTTCTTGGTCTATTTTCTTTTCTTGTTGGCAGAATTTTTTACCTTATAGCTGGATATGAAGAAGCCTTCTAGAACCATTATTAAAAAAAAAAAAGAAAAGAAAAGTTGCCACAGAGTTGATTCCAACTCATGGCAACCTCATCAATGTCAGAGTAGAACTGTGCTCCATAGGGTTTTCAATGATTGATTTTTTGGAAGTAAATTGTCAGGCCTTTATTCCGAGGCACCTCTGAGTGGACTCAAACTGAGCTCATTAACTGATTGTTACTCAAGGACTCATGAATCATTATATGACCTGGGAAATAAAGGCTCTGGGCAATGGAGCAACAAGAAGAAAGAAGGCTGGGTATCCAGCACCACAGAGTGCAATTCCAGTTTAGGACTACTCACCGCCAGATTTGTTGGTGAGAG